TAAAAATGCGTTTAAGAGTTTCGGCTCCAAGTTCGAGACCACCAATATTTCGCTAAGGACCACGGAGGATTTTCACCGTCGTGACTGTCATCGTTTTCAACGTCCTTGGTGGATTGTTGCTACAGACATGGAATCAGTTCTACGTTCGTGCTTGCTTAGGAAAAGGAGGTACCTAAACAACACCCTTCTAACCATCTCCAAATTTTCGGGCACAACTCGGGCAACAGTTGCAGCAGGGATGTCACTCTCTCAGGGAAAGAGACAACTATTCAGCCTCTGTTGTCACTCAGCGCTTGACTTCATCCATTCGCTTCTCGTGCAGGATTTACCTTATTAGACCCTCATCAGCTACAACTTTTATCGCTCGCCCTTCTTTTGACTCCTGAACCAAATCTTCCACATTGCATTTGGAGAATACCTACGCAACTAAATAATAATAACGGCACAGGTTAAATTTGAGCAGCTTGCTTTCCTGTTATTACTCCCGATTCCATAGTTCTGCACTGGTTTGACCACTAGAATTTCTGTTTAGTCTCCCTAGATTTTCTTCTGCGGCAGGGTTAGTCAAATTTCACAAACACATAGCCAAAGGTACCAGCTTTCGAACGATATTGTAGCTCGCAACCCTAGCTCTTTTGCTTTCCTGCCATTGCTTTATAGGTCTCCATGTTTTCGAATGAGATGACCTAATACCAGTGATAGCGAGAACTGTACTTCTCGAAGAAGTCAGCATGAACAAATGTGCGTACCTTTCTCAAAAGGAGCCCGAAAACAATGTGAAGGGTTCAGGTGTCACTCGTCGAGCTCATGCCCAAATGCTGATATTCAGACGGTATCAAATGTTCGACCAGCTCGATTGGGTGAAGAAGAGGTTCTCACTACGCCTACTCCAAAGCTAAAATTCGATTTCTCCGCTTTCCGACCTGTCGACATGAGCGGAATGTGCGTTGACGTCAACGGGACCAGGATTGAATTCAACGCTCTGAGAGCGCTGGCACCACCGGAAATAACATTTTCTTGCAAGCCACCTCCTCGTATCACAATAAGCGACGTACTTGAAATTGGTTTTGAAGACTGATCTGAACCTCAAGGGTCTCATAATTAGGGGAGGGGGATGTTGTATGATAGCATATTATCGAAATGCGGGTGTTCAATCCTTTCTAGATTGCTCGACGCAGCGCTTTGTCGTCACAATCAGATCAGTCTATTAGATCAGGATAGTCTACCTCATGCGGCGCTTATTTCGTGACCTTATTTTTTGCCGATTGTAGAGTTTTTCAAAATAAGGTCTGAACTGAACTATGTAGGAGGGAGCTGCCATGGCCTAGTTTGATGCCGAAATGCTGTGTCGATTCAACGAGCTACGAGTAGAGCTGGTTGGTTGGCCCGCGGTGTCGCGCTCTGAGCATGCTGAACTAAATTCTCCTATTAGAAATATTTGTTCTTACTAAAATTGAAAAAGATGTCTCAATTAGGTGCGGTGATGCTTTAATTGTAGCCATGTTATTTTACTGGTTGTATGTGTAATTATTAGCATGTTTCACTTATACAGATTAAGGTTGTTTATTTACTGAAATAAACATGTAAAATTGTTCATGTTTACTTTCTCGTTTTCTATTTGTTATATACCATTTTCACTTCGAATTCACCACTTTTCAAATCAATTTCACACTATTTTAGACCGGGCAGTTCACCAACCAGATCACGCCAGACACCACTGCGAGCTCCGCCCCGACGGCCACGCCTACTTGTCAGCGCGGACATAGATTTTCAACACATCGACACATGGCCGACTCCGCCCATTCTTCAAAGGGTTTGTTGCGAACTTCGAAATTTCATAACTTTTCAACTTTTTTATTTCACATCCACTCTTTTTATGCACTGGCAACTTAGGCTCCGCCCTTGGCCACGCCCATTTGCTTTCTGCGGAATTTTGATATTTTTTCATAATTTTTGCATTTTTGACCTGCTTCATGAAGCCCCGCCCACTTTTCAAAAATGGTGCAAATCGGCAGTATAGAGTCTTGGCTTGCATGCTAGGGTCTCGTCCGTCACTCGGAACAAATAAATCAGGCAAAGTTTGTTCCGAGTGACGGACGAGACCCTAGCATGCAAGCCAATGTTCTATAATGCCGATTTGCATCATTTTTGAAAAGTGGGCGGAGCTCTCTCTCAGTGGGTAAGCCTACTGGAGGCAGAGTCAACAACCAGAAAAGTCTTTGAAAGAAACATATCAAAATGTATCTGCATGAACAGGGTAGCAAGTGCGCTGTGCAGGGGGGGTGCGGGGGGGCAGCCATAGAATTGTTCAGTGCATAGATACGGGGCGGTAGTAGTATTTCGGCGTTTGTGGCAAAGGTGGATGCGACATTAAAGAGTTGAAAATTAAGTTAGTTGAAACCGTTGCGTCAGACGCAAAAAAAATAACCTTTCTCCAACAAACCCTTTGTAAAGGAGATGGGTGGAGTTGGCCATGTGTCGCCGAGGTGTGTTCAAATGTCTATGTCCGCCGCTGACAAGTGGACTGCCGGCCGTGGCCGTGCAGGGCGAGAGCTGCTTAGTTGCCCGTGCTGCGTGACTCTATATGTTTGTGAGTTACCCGGTCCTAAAGAAGTGGGTGAATTGTTTGCGATTTGAAAGTGGTGAATTTGCTTTGAAAAGTGCGTGACCATTCACCCAAGTGCAAAAAATGGGTATATTCGTTTGTTTCAAATTGCAGGTGTTTCGCGGTTGCGATTTTGGTAAGTGTAGATAAGTGTGAGTGAGTGTGCGATCCGTTACATCGCGCATGTGCCCCCTAGATTCGGTGCATTATCAAGGTCGTTCCCAAGTCAAATCGAAAGGCTAAATGAATGTCTCGCGAAACAAGAACCGGTGGTCCCTGAAGGAGTCTGTTGTATCTAAGATACACCACCGCAAAAGTGTATACGTCAGTACATTGGTTGGTTGTGTCCCGGAAGGGAGGGGTTGTGGGGAGGCCCGGAAGGGCAGGGCATAGTTACGAGTGTGTTCAAACTCTGTCGTTTCGGTGGAAATGAAAACGTGGAGTGAGTCGTATTCGACCCGCAAGGAGCAAGGTGGTGGGGATGTCGTATAGCAACAAGAACTCTAGGGCTTCATTCAGCAAGTGGTTGAAAAGCAGGTTATCTGGGATCGTCGTATTAGGCGTCATGATTATAGAAGATCTTATGTCGTAAACATTAAGTTGGTCTTTGCTACGTGAAGTGGCGGAGTGTTGTGTCAAAGTGACAAGTGCGCGAGCGCCGGAATACACGCACTAAACGCGGGCCGGTCCTGGTTCTCGAATAGCCAGCGTCGACACTGCCGCCCGAGGAGGCAACCAGCCTTCTAGAACCCTCCGGGGACGGGTGAGAGTGTGGGTGAGTGGAGTGTTCGTCTGGGAGGATAAAACACTGACTTGTACATCGGCTGGCCCCCGCAAGTCATTGTATAGGCCACATCGCATTCAATAAGCCACTACGATTCTGAATGGAAGTAGAATGCGTGCCGCATCCGTACAAAGGGATTGATTAACGGCGAAGACTTCATCCTTTTTATCCTTTTTTGCAGTGAAGAACACGTGAAGACAAAGGCAGTTACAAGCTTAGAAGTGGGAATGGGCAATGGCAAGAAGTACGGTTGCGGCCGCAATGACGTCATGAATTATAACAAACAGTGTACGCTAGGACCCCTGAACTGTAGGAGCACATCTGCTTTCACGAAAAGCCTTACCTGTGAAAGTTACAGACCTCCCCACAACTCCGAGCGCCTCTTGCGTTGGTAAGTGTGGAGGGAGTTACAGAGAGAATGTCATTCGAGAACGCGAGAATGAATTGATTTCCCCTCAAATTTCGACGAAGAAATATTCTCGTCATCCGGGCAGTTGATTAGGGCGGTCGTCAACGGGCCGCAGCGCGTGCCAGGAACTATTTGCTTTTTCCAGGCTAATTTAGTCATTTTTTCCACCTTGTGAAGATAAGGAGCTGCTAATCTTGGGAAAAGTAGCCAAAACAGTGAAAAGTTGGAAAAAAAATGACTAAATTAGCCTGGAAAAAAGCAAATAGTTCCTGGCACGCGCTGCGGCCCGTTGACGACCGCCTAATCAACTGCCCGGAATGACGAAGAAGTATCTTCCAGAAGCTTGCTCAAGTCCTTAAACAAAATCGGAATTGTTCTGTGCTGGAGGAGCCTTCGCGTCGTCCGAAATTTGTTACGACAAAATCACAAGCGGGATCTTATTAAGTGCTGAGCGTGAGAAAAAAAAACTAGGTGCTTAAAAGGGGAAAGTCTGTTTTAGGTCCACAAAAGTTTGTGACATTTCGAACCATTTTTTCGAGTCAAGTTTATTCCAGTGAGAAGCATAATCCCCACGATCAAATATTACGGGTATAGGTGTTGTGTTATGAACCAGTACGAACAAATGACTTCCCATCGGAGTTAAGCGTCACATCGAGGGAAACTGCGCAATGGTGCGACACACTCTTTCTTGAAGAGAGTGCCAGAACAATCCTCTCACTCTTCACTGAATAAAAAAAGAGTTCGGCATAATCACTAAGTTGATGCAGTGCATTTGCTCTCCGTTCAGGTGTTAGGGCCGGGCTGTTTCCTCGATTGTGTTAGAGCATTCAAAAGGTGTAGATACAATAAGATCAACTCGGAGAGAGTTTAAATGGTGTGTCAAAGTGATCGCGCGCGAACGCCACTATATAAGGAGGAACGCCGAGTCAACAGCTGTTATCGCTCCTTCTCCTCCCTCCCCCCCCTCCTCCAGCCTCCAGCAACTTATTCATCTCAGCCGGCACTCTCAGTCCTCTTCTTGATTGTATGTCCAGAAACTTTCACTATTTCAGATATCCTGATATTCTATGCTGCCAGTCATCTGAACCATTCTAACTTTCTACTCCTTGATCTCCTAAGTTCAGTCCGGTGGATATTCGTTGATGCACTAGAACATGTATCACGACGTTCAGGTTTATCTCTCATTTTCTCACACTGTTCACATCATTACTATATCCTTGAGGATAGTTTGGTTGTTGAAGATTGTCGACGAGATTCTGAAGTAATACTTACTTATCGTTTCAATCAATATTGAAAGAACATTTGAGAAGTAGTATCACAATATTTATGTTGCAGATTAGCTTCATTACCGGCTCGGCAAAGATCGTTGGCGCGACCTCCCACGAGTCGACCTACCTGTCAAACGATCTTTGGACCCCACGCGTTATATGAGGCGCCAGATGTACTCCCATTCGCGTTTCTAACCTTCTTTCCTGGGATGATCCTCTCTCTATTAATTTGATTTCTGTTGCTGACCCAGTTTGAGTTTCTTACCATACGTAGTATTATCCAAGTTAGAACTATTCAATGGGGACTTAGCGTTACTAAATACAAATGTTCTGCTACTACTTGTGGTGGGCACGTATACTACCGAACTTTCAATGGTACTAAATATAAAGGATCTGTTCATCAAGATCTTTGTCACCATCATCAAGAGACTCATAAAAATGTTAAAGGATAGCAGAAATTCTGGACCGATGCCGGAAGGCTTAGTCAAGCTTGTGCGAGATCACGAGGATGTCTTTGCAGTTTCCAATTTGGAATTGCCACAGACTGAGTTGATCAAGCATAATATGGACTTGGGCGCAGCGCCACCTATACATCAACGAACAAGATCGGTTCCGTATGCCATGCGAGCTGAGGTTGACCACATTTTGAAGGATTAGAAAATTAGAAACATTATTGAGGATAGTCAATCGCTATGGGCGCCACTAATTGCGCTTTTAGCAAAGGGGAATGGCTCCGTCTCTGTACAGAGAGGTTAACAAAGTCACGAAAAAGGACAGCTATCCGCTACAAGCTGTTGATCTCATCCTACAGAATCTTGAGGGCAAGAAATTTCTCTCGACACTAGATCTGGCCAGTGGCTACTGTCAGGTGCCCTCAACGGATCAGGCTAATGAAATCAGCGTCTCTGTTAGGACATCAGGTATTTTTAAATTCAGAGTATTACTGCGGGGACTGACTACAGCCCCCGCAGTATTCCAACGTTTGATGGAAATTGTTCTCGGAAAATTGATTGGCGCAGAAGTGGCAGTATACATTGATGATATACTGATATCGACGGAAACGGAATTGAGACACTATGAAGTACTATCACAAGTGTTTGAGGAGTTCCGCAAAGCGCATCTGAATTTGAAGCCACAGAAATGTCGATTGATGGAAAGCACCATCGATTGTCTAGGGCACATAGTAGGGGCGCAAGGCGCGCATATGAACCCTGATAAGGTGAAACGCATCGTGGAATACCCACGACCTCAATCGGTTTCTCCTGATAAGGTGAAACGCATCGTGGAATACCCACGACCTCAATCGGTTTCTCAACTGAGAGCATTTTTAGGCCTTGCAGGCTACTACAGGAAGTTTGTACTGAGGTTTGCGCGCACAGACTGAGGTTTGCGCGCACAGCGAAACCATTGCATGATCTCACAAGTGCTAGAAGAGCGTTTGTGCGGGGTGCAACTCAAGAACAGGCTTTTGAATCCTTGAAGAAGGTTTTCTCAGAAGCACCTGTCTTGCCGCAGCAAGGCATAGAGAAAGCGAGGAATAACCAACGCCTGTTTTGCATATACACAGATGCCAGCAGTGTGGGTGTAGACGCGGTCCTTGCGCAAGGAAAACGACCATGGATTTCTCCACCCGCTGCATTTCGCGTCGAAACCGCTCTCGAATGCAGAACGGAAGTATCACATCACAGATCAAGTAGCTTTAGCTGTCATAAATGCCCTAAAAAAGTTCCATTACTTGTATATGGAGTGAAAACAATGGTTCGGACGGACCATGCGCCATCGAAGACGCTATTTAAACGCGGGAATGTATCGCCCCGCATACTACGCTGCGCGCTTGAGATTCAAAGGTGTGATGTGATAATTGAATATATCAAAGGAGCAGCTAATACAGTCGCGGACGCATTATCTCGAAGCATCGTTAAAACATCCACACATGCCCTACTCATACAGAGGATGAAAGAGTTGTTTTGAAAAGTGATTCCTAGTGGCTCGAAGAGCTTCGCTGTGATAAGGACTTTAACATGATGATAGAAGCTGTGGAGGCGAACCGCCAAGTAGAAGTAAGATTTCCGCGGTACGATAAGATCTTATCCTCGACTGATTCTGTCATCGAGGATGGAAGATAAGCTTATCGGGCCTGACCTGTTCATGGAAGCACATCATGGAACAATGGCAGGTCATTTTGGTGCATGGAAGGTGTTCCAACAGTTGAGAAAACATGTCTTTCGGTCCGGAATGCGCCAAGACATTCCATTGTGGACCCGCGAATGCCAGCGGTATTTCATTTCAAACAACGCCACAGGTGCCGACATTAAAACGTATAGTGACCACAAAGCCATCTGAAACAGTGGGAGTTGATTTTTTGGAGGCAGGACTCACAAGTAGAGGCAATCGTTACATAGTGACAATTATTAATCACTTCACCAAGTATTTAGGCGCATAACCCGTACCTGACAAACGCTCCAAGACCATCGCAGAAGTAATTTTCAGCCAGATATGCGGTGCAGGTAGATGGCCAGGGGCGATTTTGTCAGATCCTGGCACCGATTTGAAAATACCGTTGTACCTGCTTTATGCGAGATTATGGGCATAAAGCACCTGTTCACGAAAAGATGTTGCCCTCGTGAAAACGGACCAACTGAGCGTGTGAATGGCACAACCATTTCCATACTGCGGAAGAAAACAGTGGTACCTACAGAATGGGACAAGATCTTGCCTAAAGTGGTTTATGCATACAACGCACCAGCACCACCACATTCCGCAAGGGGCGAAAGCCCTCATTTTCTGGTTTATGGCCACAGTCTGCGTATTCCATTAGAGTCATTCCAAGGGATCAGCTGTCGGCGTATATGATGGACTATGACCAATACAAAACAGAGTTGACAAGTGAATTGAAGCTTGCACGCAAGTGCATTATTCACCGAAATGAGAAGTACAGAGCTAAGGCAAAACAGTATTACGATCGTCACTGGAAATCCGATAGAACGGTCAATTTCAACGTAGGAGATCGACTCTATGTTAAAGTGTCCGGAGGAAAAGGGGCATCGTCATCCTAAAGTGACTGTTTCCTGTGATCCATATAGGGTAATCGTGTCAACACCCAATTCAGCGACTGTAAGTGAAATTGGGGTTGACAATGAACCCATACAACTCCCATTCGACCACCTGATCAAGGTGGCAGCGTCGATAGACGATACTCCTGTAGTAAGGCAGGAAGCGAAGAGGCGTTAAACGGGGAAGAAGAAAAGCTGGCGGTGACTTCCGACGCCTGTATCACCATATGTAGCAGGATTTTACAATTTCCTTTTTCTTTCTACTGTCCAACTGCTTTAATTGTATGTTCTCGACGTTCGGCTCGCACGGATATATCCACTACTGACTATTCGGGAGTATTCGAAGATAGTATGCAGTCAACTGCTTGTCATACCGCAATGGAATGGTACGCAAATTGTCGAGGACCCACCATTACCATAGTTGGTCTTCAATTCTTCGTTTGAATTGGCTGGGGCTGTCTCTATACTGCGTCAAACTCACGTTTTCGCCGAAGGGCGAGCTGCGACACTTGTTGACCACGATTACATTACATTGTCAGCATGATCGTTAGCTTTTGCAATGTCATTTTTCGAGCAGATTGCCTCCATCTCGCTGCGTATCATCGTCGCAATCTCGCCACAGACGAAGCACTTGGGAATCTACCCCACCCTCCACGACATACGGAAGATCCGTTCTAGCCTGGCGGAGATGGTCGCGAAAACGCAACAGTTCCTATAATCTCCCATGGCAAAATGGACTGTGGAGACAGTTGTCCAAGTTAAGAGCCTTAATAATCCTACCAGGAGGATTCCAGAATCACCTGGAGAACGTTTCCGAATAAAGCCAAATTGCGTACTCCTACAGATATCCTAACGATAATCAGGCTACTTGACTGACAGGCGCATCGTATATTCAATTCCACTTATCATGAGTCGTCATATGGGCGAGTGCATGGGAAATGATGCTAAAGCGGTTGCGTGCGGAGCGGAACTGATATTAGTACCTGGTCCGAAAGATGATTACGAATGGAAAGTAGCAGATATGTTGCGGGTCATGGCACAAGAAACCATACAGCAAAGAAGGATTCTCGCAGAGAGAATCAAGATTTCACTGCCGCGAAAAGCGGAGGGGAAAATGACCGAACACCTGATCTTTCCAATCGGGCACAACACGGCAAAAGAGCCAAGGTTCTATGCGCCAACTAGTGCTAAAAATTTTTCAATGTTACAAGACAGTTTTATGTAGCTCACTTTCGCGTATCGCCTTACATTACGACGATACTCCCACATCAAATGGCTGGTAGTAGATCGTCGACGACGGGCGGCAAAAGCGAGGTTAATTCAATAGTTCACGGGGTTGTAGAGTTCCGCACACTCCGGTTCCAAAGAATTATAATGTGCCAATATATAAAATGCAAGGTTATTATTCTCATGAGGATCTCTTCAGAAGAGTGCATTGTCCAAGGCGTCGCAAAGCAAACCCAGTACAAGACAATTGTGGCTACCGATTTTGAAACATGGATTTGCTATGAAGGAAACGCGTGGCTCCTTCAGTCGTGGGAAATCTCACGCGATGATTATTGTTACTACACTGGGCATAATTGAGCTGAGTGGTGCAGCTTACTGTGAAGGGGGAGCATGTTAGGGATTCCTGTCAACAGGTAAAGTGTGTTAACATGCTCGAATTCGTTCGTTTATGATATGGTGCATTTCAACATGTTTAGACGCGGTGGCGGCGGGAAAGCATATAAAAGGCTCGCGAACAGCAGACGGCCCTCTCTCTCCTTTTTTCAGGTCCGGACATGTTATGTTGATAGTTGTGGTCTATCTTGCCTCTATCATATCGTCATTACGTCATTTTCTTGTGTTATTAAATTATCGCCTGCTATTAATAGGAGTTGTTCCGCTTCTCAGTCCATTTATACGGGTCGTTTCTTTTGAAGTTTCGAATTGCTGTTGCTGTTTGCAGACAGATATTTTTGTTTCTTCGTTATATCGCTATTGTTTTTGTAGCTAATTTGCCTGATCATTGTCGAAAGTGAAAGCGTTTCGTCGCACTTACTGTAAATAATGTTATCAATATCAAGGGGTCCTTCAATTCACCATGATGCCCACCGCGAGACGGGCTCAAACCAACATAGTGAAATGTCCTCACGTCCTACTACTTCCGTTAAGTAGCTTTCACATATCTGACTGTTGGTGGCTCTTATCAATCCTCACTGACAAACAACTTTAGGCTTCTAGTTTTTTGAAATTTGAGAGTTTAGTGGTCGAATCCCGCACTGTTTCGCTGCGAGGATAGCACACGGACCATGCGTCGCGCCCTCAGCTAATCCTGCGTTGCTGCCATTAATCTCTGGCATCCAACGTCCGGTACATCGAGGGCTCTCAAGCGGAGTAAAGATGGGAACAGTACTGACCCTCGTTGAACACTATATCATAACTTATCTCCCATCACCAATGTTCCTTAACCACTTCTGAATGACTTGCTGAAGCACTGGTTTTGCTAGTTTCTGAAGCGGCCAATTATGGCTGCTACAGTGGAGCGAACGTCACGCCACGAACTAGGTGGGGCGTCCCTACGACCACGGCCGGCTGGGAAAAGCACGCGCTCCGCTGATATGCGGTGGAGGATGGAAGCGCCGCGGAGAAATTCCTACCGGCGGGAATATGATCCGCTCTCCCCCGTCGGTCAAGTCTACCTCGTGACATCAGATGGGCACGCTCTCACACACCACCGGGGCCCGTCGCCTCTACTCACTCTTCCGTCCTGCGCTCTCGCCGATCAAGATAACTGGGGCAAGGCGCTGACGCTGAGACTCAAGGCTGAGTCAGGCTGGATTCGACGGCCGCATTTTCTCCAAATCCCTGCCGTATTCTGCTTGAAAAACTGCGATTTTTCGACTTTCGACTTCAATCGTTGAAGGTAAGTATTCTTACTAAAATTTTATCACAGTTTGCATGCTCCGACAATCTAGCAGTTGAAAATCCCTTCATTGAAAAGCACACTCTTTCGCCGGGCCCTTCTGGTTTTCTGCAATTCACTCACAACTTTTCCTGGTATTGTGCCGCCTTTGCATATAAAGTGATGGTAACTATTGCAGCACCGCGGCGCGGCGACACCGCAGAGAGGCCAGCGTGGCCATCCTCACGGCGTCACCGTTTTCAAAGGTAGTGTCTTAGATGTGATCATCGTTATTTGATTCCGACGAACAAATGCTCTCGACTCTATTCTGAAGCTCGGAGTCGCCTGTGAAGAAAATGTGAAGAAGTGAAGAAAATCAGAAAGACAAGAAATGTTTTCTAGGGAATTTCGAGCTAAATTCATGCAGAAGTTGTGAGACAAAAGTTTCATGTAAGAATAACCACCCACCGAGGGCCGCAGGGAATACTCACATTTAACGACTGAAGCCGAAAGTCGGAAAGGGGCAGGATTATTGCGCCGTTATGTGCCGTTAAACGTTGCTGTGCTTCACATTTGCTTCACTGCCATCTAAGTCCTTCGTTTTGTTGCGTCTTTTATGTTACTAACATGCATGCTTCTAATTCAAATGACTGCATGATGCTGTGACTGCTACTTGTGCTGTGCTCCTACTCTACAACAGTTTCAATTTATTTCGTGTAAACTTTTACAGACTTCCTTTAGAATTTCCTGAGACAACAATAAATATTACCGAACAACCAAAACTTCCTGACAATATGCATGCGTGTCAGCTGAAGTCACATTTTGATTACTGCATGGTATCAAATCTCTAGTTGTAATTGCATTGACTTTTCTGCATCCTAATAATATCTGGAACGCTTTTTAGCCGAGCCTCTATTATCGCATCATGAGGCGGGGATCACGTCGAAAAACTTTCGATAGCCGTTTCAAGATTCTTGCTTCGGAGAGAATCCGCGTGGCACTCTGGCTTCAAACAATACAGATCCACTCCAGGCCTCTATCGCCTCGATCTCCTCTGCTCAAACGATGTGAAGAAGTACCTGTCAGTAGATTCGAAGAAGCGTAATTCATCGGACGCCTATCCTTTCACTGAGGTTAGCGATAGATTTCTTTCAGCTGGTTGGAGATGACAAGACCAGTCGTGTTAAGAACGATGGGTCAGAGTAATGCTTGCCTCTGCAGGCAGTTCAACGCTGCTCTCTCGCTTGAAATGTTCGTTTAGTAATGAGCCAAGTCAGCACTGAGACAACGCCGGCCGCATCCGTATTGAAGAACCAGAAACGACAAGCTGTCATACACTAACGTGACAGCACTTCTTTCGCCAAAGCTGAAAGAACATCTTGGGCGGCCAACTTCACGTGGTACCGTTTTCAGCTCGGTTACTGCGATAACTGCCACGGCTTGCGGTGTCAGCGACAGAATGGTCGAGAAGGTTACGAACACACCGGTCCGCCCTGCGATTACGCAGTCAGCTCGCAAGAGTTGCTCTCGGAAAGCAGCGGTTATGACCGCGATGAATAACCTTGGCCCAATTTGGGGCGAGCGGATCAGGCGGCTGGTCCACAGGATGCTTAAGGACGAGAAGGACGTCACGATCCTCGAGTTGCGGCAGGAAATGATGATGGCTTATCCGGACTTCACTTACTCGTCAACGACACTTTGGAGGCTTGTGAAAGGCCTTGGCTTTTCATACAAGATCCTCAAGGGACAACGCTATATTTTCGAACGTTCGGATCTTGCCAAGAAGCGGTCCCTATATTTGAGGAAAATTGAGGAAGCCAGGAGGAGAGGGGACTGCATAGTTTACATGGACGAGACGTGGGTGTTCGCCGGGATGGTAAAGAGGAGAGGTTGGTCAGACAACACCATGTCGCGCTTTCCCACCGCTGCTGAGATACAGCGGTATTCTTGCGGTAAGACTGCTGGGAAGAACAAGGGGAGGCGCGGTATTGTTATGACGGCCATGAGTGAGGATGGGATCGTACCCGGCTGCACCCATGTATTCGTGGATAGACACCGCACTATGCACCACGATTCCACCCGCGAGATGGACCACATAATGTTCGAGAATTGGTTGGAATCGTCCATCCCCCTCATGAAGGAATTTGCGGCGGGACGGAATGTTACGCTAGTGCTCGACAACGCCCCTTATCACACAAGAGCACTGGAGAAGGTGAGATTTAGTCAAGCAATGAATAAAAGAAAAAAACGCGACATGTTTGTTTATAAGATTCCGACCAGACACTCCACTAAGCGAGAGATCATCAGCTTCCTCAGCTTCCATGGAGTCGAAGTGGCGATCGATAGTGAAAAAGCGTCCGTAGTAGAGGAGGTTCGACGTTATACAAAAGTAAACTTGACTCCACCTTAGATGCTGTTTTAGCTCGAAGACTTCGTCGAGGCGGTAGAGCAGCTTTACGCTGTTTCGCTGCTGAGAGCATATGTGAAGATATGGGGGTAAGCCTACTCAGGCTTCCTCCATTCCACTGCTTTTTCAACCCAGTGGAACTGTGCTGGAGCTATCTAAAGCACCGCCTGAATAAGTTGGGAAGACCCACGGATAGACTAGAGACGGTAGAGATTTCTGGAACGTTTTTAACACTTGCAAAAGGTGGCCGTTTGATACCAGATCTTTGTTCAGGTGAGAACTAGGGCCCTAGACGTTCTAGAGGGTGTAACAAGGAGCCATTGCGAGGGATGGTGCAGAGCAGCGTTAGAGGAGGAGGATTCAGCTCGGATGAAAGATGCTCTGGATGAAAACAACAGCAATGTTGCCGATGAGGAGGCTTTTGCCCCATTAGACATGTTATCTGATGACAGTGATCCGGATGACATGTCCAGTGAATTCAGTGTGGAGTTGTGAATGTGACCTTTTTTATAATATGCTGTTTGCTTAGTCTACGGAATCCACATAAAGTGAGTTAATTGCGGACGGTCAGGCAGTGCGAGTGTGACACTCCCTCAAAGCCGTTCTTGCCTTCTTGTTGAAGCGCGCATGCGACAAAAAGTGGCATAAAAGAGTAATACGAACAATGTGATACAGTCATATCATTGCTCACTTTGTCAACTGTTGGAGTACGGGTTTGGCTTTGCTCCAAACACATCCCACCTGACACGCCCAACAGCCCGCAGTGAACGCATGCATATTGTCAGGAAGTTTTGGTTGTTCGGTAATATTTATTGTTGTCTCAGGAAATTCTAAAGGAAGTCTGTAAAAGTTTACACGAAATAAATTGAAACTGTTGTAGAGTAGGAGCACAGCACAAGTAGCAGTCACAGCATCATGCAGTCATTTGAATTAGAAGCATGCATGTTAGTAACATAAAAGACGCAACAAAACGAAGGACTAGATGGCAGTGAAGCAAATGTGAAGCACAGCAACGTTTAACGTTTAACGGCACACAATCCAGCTACCCAACAAGGGAACATCCATGCAAATTGAACCAAAATCGTGCAGTTTCTGAAAAACAATGCACTGGGATCTTAGAGACTGCTACAAAGCAACTAAAGCAAAGGCAGGGTAATATAAAATTGACTGCACTACCTCAGACAGTGACTATGGAAGTGAAGCGTCATCCGGTGTGAGGAAAAGCACCGCGCATCCTTGAAAACAGACAAGTGCATCCACAGAATATAATAAATTGTCGTTAGCAATAGTCTGTATGTAAATGTTAGAAAAAATTGCAAAAAAAAAACTAAAAGCTCGAAGCTACTCACACAAAATCGGCCACAGTGATTGCAGCTGCTACGTAGTAAAACTGTCCCAGCTCGGCATCGCGCAGCTCAGGACATCAGGGGTTCGGTAATAGACTGTGAAGAGCAGCAACGGGGCCATTCTCAGGAAACCAGCCGAAGTCAGGAAGAGGTGGGAAGAATACTTCGAGGGACTTCTGAACGAAGAATTCCCTCGCAAGGATAGCCCACAGATAGAGGCGACGGCAGGTCCCATCACTCCCTGGACGAAGGATGAAGTTCGCCGGGAGCTAGGGAGAATGAAAGCTGGGAAAGCAGTGGGTCCAGACGGTAAGCTGGTACCGGATAGAGGCAGGAAGGCCCTTGGAGAGCATGGGGTGAGTTGGCTCACGCACTTCCTAAACAACGTAACAGCTGAAGGAAGGATGCCAAATGCGTGGAGGAGCAGCACAATCGTTCCCATTCAAAACAGAAAGGGTTGTAACCGACAGAGTGCTCACAAGCTACCGCGGGATCAAGCTGACTCCCCATACCATGAAGCTGTACGAGCGCCTGGTCAACACTAGGCTGAGGGAACTTGTCCCTATCTCGCAGGAACAGTTCGGCTTCATGCCCGAAAGGTCCACCACTGATGCCATCTTCATCGCCAGACAGCTGATGGAAGAAGTACGAGCAGAAGCGCGCGACCCTTGCTCACCGTAGCCTTCCTGCGACCTTTGAGAAGGCATTCGACACCCGCTGCCAGGCCTGTACTCTGGGAAAGCGCCTACGAGGGAACGTAACGTTCCGGAGCACGCTGTTCTTCTAAGTAAAGCGATATGCACGAATGGGTTAAAAGCACGCTGTACGACCCCGCACGGCTTGGACGAGGGAGAGGTAAAAATCACGGTTGGGGTACACCAAGGATCAGCCCTCAGCCCGTTCCTCTTCCTCCTGACTCTAGATGTCATGGCAAAGAACTCATGGAGGGACCACTGAAAACCATCCTCTACGCTGACGACATCGCCCTGATAGCGGACAGCAGGGAAGAACTCCAGGACAAGGTGCAGCGGTGGCAAGATGTGCTCGCTGAGAATGGGCTTCGGTTGAACGTAAAGAAGACCAAGTTCCTAAGCTCCGAAGAGTGCGCCGAAGTCATCGTAGATCGCCATGGCGAGAACATCGAAAGGGTCGAGGACTTCCAGTACCTGGGGAGCCACCTATCAGCTGATGGCAGCGTGGATCAGGCGGTGAAAGCCCGAATCAACGCAGCCTGGATGAAATGGAGGGAGTCCACTGGGAATCCTGTGCGACCGGCGGTGCTCGAGAACACTCAAGGGCAAGGTATACCGGGCGGTAGTAAGGCCTACAATGCTCTACGGTAGTGAGTGCTGGCCCATCTGCAAGAACCATGAAAGGCAGCTCCATTCAGCTGAAATGAGGATGCTGAGATGGGCGTGCGGCTGGACACGACTCGACAGAGTCAGAAACGAGGATGTCAGGGCGGTCACACAGACGGCCCCGATCCAGCTGAAAGCACGAGAGCAGCGACTGCGATGGTATGGGCACGTACTGAGGAGGCCTGAAGACCACCCAATAAGAAAAGCCTTGGAATTCGAAGTGGAAGGCAAGCGACCACGAGGAGCCCCAAAGAAAAGATGGAGGGACGTCATCAAGAAGGACCTCACTGAAGTGAAAGCCACGGCAGAAGATGCAGTGGATCGGAACAAATGGCGACGTCTAACAAGAACAGCGGACCTGCGACGCGCGGGGACAACGTGGGAGAAAGAAGATAGAGAAGACGCTAAGTAAAAACCTGTCCATACAGGCCCGATCTCTGAGCTTCAAAACTAGTTATCAAGAGTGTTCTTGCATGTACGCGACACTTTCAAAGAATAATGATAGTGAGCACCGACGTCAGAACCAAAAAAAAGGTAGGTAAGAAACACGAGCTTGAAGTAAGCCATAAGCAGAGACAAAACTCATGGCCGGTTTCACGACCAACGTGGAAAAAAACGCACAATTGCACATAATTCACTCCAACGTTAGCAAAACAGCGGTTCACTATTAGAAGACGAGAACAAGACGCAGATACGAGGATAGAATCCAAAAGGAAGAGAAAAAAAATAGTTAGCAGGTACACACACAATTTCAGGAGAATTTCGGGAAAAGGGACCATTAAGGCGACTTCGCGTTTTAAAAACAGAGATGCGTTTCGGAATATAACGAGATACATCATCTAGACTCTACTATCCGAAAACCGGGTCAGTAACATAAAGAGTGGGGAAAATAAGAGAAAAAGTTTGCGAGATTGAGAATATCTAGAAGGTGGGAAAAATTTTCTAAAGAATCAAGCTAATTTCATGCAAACTGTGATAAAATTTTAGTAAGAATACTTACCTTCAACGATTGAAGTCGAAAGTCGAAAAATCGCAGTTTTTTCAAGCAGAATACGGCAGGGATTTGGAGAAAATGCGGCGCGAATCAGCTGATCGACAGCGTCAGCCAGTATTGATCGGCGAGAGCGCAGGACGGAAGAGTGAGTAGAGGGCGCGGCGGGGTGTGTTAGAGCGCAGAGTCTGTGTCAGAGACGCAGGGGCAAGGTCAAATATCGGGCCGCTAGTCAGCGTGGCCTTAGGACCGCCCCACCGTGCGCTGAGAACTGCACTATATCTTATCAGCTCTTATCACTTCCTACCACTCACCAGTAATGCTCCCATCCTGCTCATTTTAGTTCTCGGAGCTAAAGTCCCGTCGTTGCTGTGGCCCGCGCTATGATTTTGGTAACCCTCCCCTTCTAAGACCCCTTGTGGTATCTTATCAGCTCTTATCACTTCCTGCCACCTACCAATAGTGTTCCTGCCCGACCCTCTACATCACTTATCAGTTTGGGCGCTCTACCGCTGTTTTGAATTAATTTGAATTTCCTGTCAAACACACATGTAGACACTTAAACGTGGATTCACACACACACAGACAAACTCAGCGAATTATATATCGTAAATTGACTTTATCGCTGTTATGGCTTATGATTTCTACGTTGTCGGTTTACTTCGGTGATATCAGATTGCTGTGGCTGTGTTTATTTGGTGTAGTCAACTGTTGAAAGTGAACTACCACCCAACCAGCACTCAGGTTAGTCGACCATTTGCCCTCAAATCGGCAACACAACACAACACAATCACAACAACCTTTTGGTCCGCTCAACTCAGTTGAGATGAACATTACCGGGAAGACACAGGAAATGATTGAAGCATTCACGAAGTTAGTCGATTGAAAATTAACAGAACTAATTGCCAGACAGAAGGCGAACGTACTACGTTTGTGACGCTCAGACAACTTCGATGGTGCAGCTCAGAAGAAGCCTTACGGTGTGACTCGCCCTCTTTTTGAAAATATAGGTTGGAAGGAAAGTCTTGTCACTGTTGTGACTTTTTTCTTTTTTATTTTCTAACTCAACATACAGTGGAAATTAGTCAACAATGAACTCGTCATAGTTAGCCACTACAGTGCTCCAGTGGGCAAGCAAGCATTCCCCCTCTCCCAGCACTGGGGAGGCTGGTAAGTCAGGGGACTTTCGACTGATGTCATCAAAGTTGCTGTAAGTTTTCTTGGCTAAGCAAGCCTTAAGGAGGAGGTGCAGGTAGCAGTCGTAGCGGACTAGGTCAGGAGAATATGGCAAGCGGGGACTGGCCTCCCAGCCTTGCTCCTCAGATATTTGGTAGGTCTCCATAGCAGGTATGGTGGTCTCGCGTACTACGAGCGAGGTGTCAGACATGACTCCATTTACGCATAACTTTTGCAGGTGAGGTGAAAACTGTTGGAAACTGCGAGATCACCTCTTTTGACTTTATTAATCATATTATAATTTAAACTCCATCTGGAACGTATAAGGTATGACAAGTGATTTCACTTAGTCGACCACACTACAACTTCATTACCACCGCTTTTACTTCTTAATCTGTCTCGTACTCATCTTGTTGCAATTTTGGTGACTAATGACTCGTCCAAATATAACCCTTCCCCATTTCGACAAGCCAAATACGACCCCTCCATTGAGGGCTCGTTAGCGAATGCTTGACCTTGCTAGCCAGTAAAGAAGGAAGCAAAAAAGCACGCTCAGAACATCCTAAACAAACCCCCTCCTTGACATCACACGGCTTCATTCTACGAGTTTTCCAGAATTGCGGG